AGCAAAAGGAAAAAGAAGGCAAGTGCATTTGAGTCGTCCACACACAAGTGCACGCCATCAGACGGGATCATTTCGTGCATTGAAATAGTATTGGTGATAAAATGTGAAAAATGAACAGAAACAATTTGCGGGTTCAAGCAGACCCATACCAAGAACCGGAAATTGCTCGAATAGTATTCTTTCCAGATATATGGGGTATGTATTATTTATCCTCGTAATTCCACAAGATGCACGATTGAGAGGGAATGCATACATATACTCTATATTGGAGCTGTTGATGGCTTCCTGGTTCTTCCATTGGATCCTGGAGCTGAAACCAAAACAAGGAACATAGCAATAGTTAAACAAAATAAAGTATGCCTACAAAGATCATAAAAAACATTATAAAACTTGGGTACCAAGTCCATTAGCCTCGGCTGTCCTCATGATTCGAAGTCTCCTCACTGTGTTTAGAAACATCCTGATAGAAAAAGAAACAATTAGACAAAAAAAAACTAAATGTCAATCTGGTTTGGATCTTGAGCATGATTGTGACACACACGAAACCAAAAATTAGCAAACATATGCCTCTTTGAAATTTGGATTTCAAATTAAACATGTTATTGTACTGCTTAAGGGAAATGTAATTCATAATAAATATAGAGAAATTCAAACAACATACTCCCAGGGAACATCACCAACAAGCATCCAGTCTCCTTCTTTATCTTCATAGGTGAGCACAAAATCAGATGAACTATCCAACAATCGAAAAGGTTGTCTTGTACCAGAAACGACAACTTGCTCCACCACATTGGATCCTAAAATAGAAACATCACAAGCCACCAATTAGATAAGACTACTGAGAAAACTAATTCAGACTTCTGAACAAAGTTTTAATCTCAGAGAAAGATCTCTATTAGAAAGATAGAAAGTAGACCACATCACTAGTCTTCAATTATAACAAAAGACAAAAGATACACAACACAAATTGGCATGGATTATTGATAACTAAACATTACAGGGTACTTGCTATTCTTGGATCTCACAAATTATTATAAAATTATCTTTCACGATCAGCTTAATTACCAACAGACAAACCAAAAGGGGAGGGGAAAAGTTCATGTGGGATCTTGTCATACTCATACCTTAAAGGCTACTTATAATTCTGAGAGATAATTTGATGTTTTTGGTAATTACGCTAAAAATTAGCGGTAGTATCTGCAATCTTCCCGTCTCTTCTTTGAAAAATTATATATTATGCAAAATCATCAGCAAGCAGGTTCTATAAGTTGCTATGGGAGGATCGATAACAAGATAACTACCAAAAGGACTACTCAACATCATACTAAGCTTTTCATAAAAATATGAAAACAGGAAATGGCCAAAAAAATGAGTTCATCATCAGATTATCTAAGAAGACAGAAAATTTACCTTTTGCAACAACAGTTGCACGGGGTCTAAACATGTCATCGAGTGCACGGGCTAAAGTCTCATAGCAGCTATGAGCACTGAGATCCAGCTTTCTACCGATTGCAATACCGTCCATGTTCACCTTCACAAACAACGATGTTTTACGAGGTCCATTTTCCTTTACATTATTATTGTTTGTGGTTCCATCATGATTAGCCTTGTCCGAGATTGAATTCTTGCTCTTACATTTATCAGCAGCCAAGATGAAGTTCTCAGCGACCGGTGATTTTGATTGGTTGGCCAAGCTGTTGACTCTGTAGTTTCTGACAGGAGGCCATCCAACTACCTGACTGCTTCCAAGTTCCAACATGAAATGAAAAAGAAAAAGAAAACATTTTAACCCCCAAGGAGATTGAGATCACCATTTTAAAGTATCCATAATAGTTAAGTGGTTTTATTTAAAAGTATAAAATAAAACAATATGTGTGCTACCTATGAAGAAATATTGTGATGCCAGAAAAAACACTAGTTATCCTTCAATGATAAGTATTACTAACACTAGAGGTTATTTATTGGATAGCTAGCTAAGAATTCAGATTTGCTCGACTTTATTAGAAAAACCTCGTGTTCTTAGCATATATGATTAAAATAAACTCAGCTTGTTTCGAGTTTATTCGAATTGGTTGCTTCAATTGAAAGACTTACAACAACACATATATATAATAAACAGCATATTCTTTTTTATTATCAATTAATGTGGAGATGAAGAAAGTTGAAGGGCCTCTTCAGATCTTGTTAATGTGATTTTTCACTTTACAGATGCTTAAAAGAATTAAAAAGAAAAAAAGAAAACAAAAGCATAGAAGAAAGTCGAATTTCCTCTGAGACCCCATGTCTCAGATTCCTCAAGAACCGGCAAAATTAAATTATGTAGCACTTGCTGCAGCAGATTCAAGCAAGAGCCCAAAGAGGAAAGGAATAAAATGAGGGGGGGAAAAGTCCCAACTTTTTCTTTCAAAATTCATACCAAATTTACAATCACTCAATTATCAGAAACTGTAAAAGAGAAAGATCAGATAACTCAACGGATCACAATTTGACAACACAAAAAACAATGAAACACGATGTGGGCAAGCTGAAAAACTTAATACATATATTAGTAGCAAGAGATACTCGCATCCCATCAACACCACCAAAACAATACATACAAAAAAAACTCAGACAATACAAACCGAATTTGACAAAAAAATGCATCAACACCAGAAACAAAAATGTCAAACGAGGAGAAATCAAAAAGTGACAGTACCTGATTGCAGAACGGCCCGGAGGTGAAGAAGGCGACTCAGCAGTCCTTTTCGTGCCACAGGAGCCATTATTATTAACGTTAGCTTTTGTCACGGACGAGGAAGAAGAAGATGAGGACGAGGACGGAGCTTTAGCAGAGCCTGCCGGAGGAAAATCCTTAGCCGTCAGGATCCTCGCATACTGATCCCAAGCAACCCCGCCACACGCCGGAGGCGGCGGCGGCCGCTTAGCCCTAACCCTTCCTCCGCCGAGGCTCAACCCTAAGCCCAATTCCAGTTCATCCGGGTACGAAGAAGAATCCTCGAACGAAATCACCATATCCCTCCCCTCTCTCGTCAAATTCGACATCAGACCGCCGGAAATCACTCCTCCGCCGCTCGGCGCAAGCTTATTTTGCATCGAGAAAAATCAATTTCGGTTGAGAATTCGATGGGTTTTTCCTTTTGATCCTTTTTCGTTTCGATTTAGGGTTGGGTGAAGGGAAATGGTGCGAGGGAGCAAGCAAAAGGAAAACAGAAAGGGTGGGGGAAAAGGAAGTTCCGGTGGTGGCGGGCCAGCCTTGTCGGCTTGGTGTGCCGCAAACGGCATCATAAATGGGGCCCACCGGGGTACAACTGACGTTGCTTTGCTTCTGGTATTTTACCAACAACCACAAAGTTTTTGCCTTTTTCATTTTTCATTTCTTCTTTCTTCTTTTCCTTTTGTTGGGTTTTGTTAGGTGCTTAAGTTCCACTCGTCGTCAATATTTAAGGGTAAAATATACAGTATCCCTTTGTATTATATGAAATCTGCGTCTTTTTCCCCTGTATTTTAAAAATTGCGTCAGACCCCCGTCTATTAATGTTTTGTATGCGCGAAACACCCTAAAACGTCTAAATTTTGGGTGTTTCGCGCATACAAAACCTTAATAAAAGGGGGTCTGACGCAATTTTTAAAATACAAGGGAGAAACGCGCAGATTTCGTAATTACTAATAAAAATAGTAATACATATATCTCCCCCTCCTAAAAACCCACACACAAAAGTTATTGGAAGTTGATTGTATTTATTTCTATTTTTGCATGATATAAAAGTAAATTAATTTATTCTAAAGCAACATTTTAAGGTTTGTGATGTTGTAGGAGAAATAGACTGCTTAGAATTAAGCCCTTTTTGGATTTAAATAAGTGGCTTGTTTATCCAAAACCCGCAATATTGGTAAGAGTTAGATTCATACTCTAAAATAGTTCATCTAAATCCTTTTTTTTTTTTTTAANAAATCCTTCATAATATCCAACTCATCAAACAAAATAATAGCAATAATAAAGAAATAAATAAATTTGGAAAAAACCTGAAAAAAATATGAATAAAAAATAAAATTTGTGATTGTGAATATAATAACATATTTACTAGTATTATATAAAGGAAAACAACGCTTCAAGCAAAAATGAAAGAGCTAGCCACTGAGCTACACGGTCTACACCTGAAGCTATTGACTATTTGACCAAGTTTTCACCTGGCCGATAAATTGAAAGGGCAATTCGAGAGATATCGACGATATAATGAAAATTTCGGGCCTTCTTCTTCTAGAAGCGGGGGACAAACACGGGTTTTAGCGAAAGACAAGTCCCGACAACCCTTGGGACCCACTCCAAAAATTGAAAAAGAAAAGCACTTTATAGAAATCGTAACAAAATATTAATTTTTCTTCTGTTGTAAATAAATAGCGACATACGTCAAGCTTTTTTGGCAGCTGAGAGCTGACAGGTAAAGTCTTGTTTGTTGGTCTTCTCTTTTATTTTATTTTTTTTCCTTTCATATTTTTACATATAATGNTTTCTCTCATAACATAATTAATAAATCCTGATTGTAGAAATTTGTTTTATAGAAAGGAAAAAATTATACACATGGCTGAGATTTGATACTGGAGAATCGTGAAATCGTATTGGATCGAGCAAAAAATAAACGTTCGATCCAGTTACTTAAAAATATATATACATATATACATATATATATAATTCGATTCTTTTGGGCATTAAAATTAGTTTCTTTTCTTACTTTTATTGTACGTACGTTAACTGAGTAACTGAATCTATACACACTATACACGTGTCTAAATTTAAATACATCAATCGGTTCAGGTTCTCGATTTTATGTTTCAGTTCTTCATTTTAAAAATTCGGTTTATCGGTTTTTGTTATATATTTTGTATGTGATTTTGCATTTTTATTATTGTCATTTCTTACAATTTAGTTAACTAAATAACCTAATTAATTTAGTATTCATCAATATAGGGACTATATTTTTGTAATAGGGTGGAATAACATTCCTTAACCAACATTATAATCCTATGTGTCATGTATGTGGCAGGTGGACACACATCTGTATCTATGACTGACTGAAAAATTCTACATATCTTGAGAGTTCATGTTATATTTTTATTCCATCACAAAAATGACATTTTTGTCCATAAAATCACATGTATAATGTCCATTAAATCCTTGAATGTCTAAAAAATTATAGATTTAGTAAAGCTGACTCATGGGACATAAATTGACTCATGAGACAAAATCATCTTATCTTATCCTATCCCATCCCTTCAAGTAAACAAGACCTAACTAGATAACTTATTGTTGCATATATACGGGACAAGAGCTCTGAATAAAAGATTGAAATCTGTGTAAAAATAAGGTAAGAAACTTCAAAACTAAACTCTTCATAATGGAAGTTTTGCCCGCTCAAAAACAAAAATATATACACATTCATTAATTCTATTGAAGAAATGGATTACGCATGATTATTTATATACACCTTCAATAATTCTTTTGAAACAAATGATTTATTCTTTTGAAAAGCTGAATTACGCATGATTATAGCTCTCATTTGGAGAAACGTATGTAGATAAGTGATCTAAGATCAAACTTGACCAATAAAGAGTTGGCACATATTGGCCAGTTGGGTTATGAAAGGTAGCGATTGGTAACGGATCAAAATTAATTTTGACCGACCACTAATTTTTGTACTCACTTTAACTCAAAATCTTTATCAAATCTGACTCAATCTCACTATTCTTAATATTATCAATATAATTGAATAATATCAATCAATTATTCCTACCCATCATATAATTTTAATTCATTATTCATTCACTCATATATTTTAACTACCTATCATTTTCAATAACCTTTTATAAATTTTTAAATTATGTCAACTTTAATTATTATATTTTAATAATTACAAACTCAAAATCTCACTCAATCATCTAATTAATTATTAACTTTATTCAAAATAATTCACTTTAATTTAGGATCCAATCAAAATAGGTTTTGATCCGTTACAATCACACTCTAAATGACTATTAAATGCTTTTATTTTCTATATAGTGTAGTACTAGTAATCAACCTGTGTATTTGCAAAGAGAAGAATACTTTAAAAAGATAACAATATAAAAAAATAAAAATAAATCCTAATTTAATTCATGAAAAAATATGAATTAAGAGAATAATTCTCAAAATTGATTTTGATCAAGTAATTGCTCTGGAAGAGCCGTTACAACTATTTTCTTTATGCTAATACATCTAGCCATTTTTATGAATGGGTGTGATTTATGAGTACAATTTTGTAACTCCCTTGATTGGTTTATGCTCAACATTCAAGCAAGTTATTTTGTAACTTAAAAATGAAATTGAATGTTGAAAATTTTGGAGGGATAATAAAATTTAATGCATGATAATATAATTAAATGCTATGTTGCTCCTCTTTATATATATATATATATATATATATATAGATTAGTCGCCCACATAAGCAAAAGCCTTATATATATATATAGATTAGTCGCCCACACAAGCAAAAGTCTAAATTGTTGTTTCATGTTGAAGTAATTCAAGATTGTAATCATTTTCTTTAAACACTACACCTTTTTACCAGCAAAGTTCAACAAAGAACCGGGTGATATCAAAATCTATAATGAGATTTGGTTGATTAACCGAAAAAATAAAATATAAACATAAAAAACACACCAAAATATTTACAAGAGTACAAAGTCCTTGCTCTGCACAAAATTCAATGGCACCACCAACCTTACAATTACATCCACCAGCATTAGAGATAGCCATTACTTTAAGAGTCGTAATCCTAAAATTTAATTAAAAGGTTTTGGACTATTTGTGACATTTAAAGTTTGGAATAGTGGCCCTTTCAAAAGTTGATGACTTCATCAAATTCAATGGTTTTAATAACTTTTAATCAACATGTGGGCTACAAATAGAACTCTCACTACTGCCATTTTTTCTTTTCTTTTTTTTTTTTTTTTTTCNGAATATGTTATTCAGTTCAATATAAGAACACAAAATTTAAGTGGAAGCAATAATTTACAAATTTACTTTTAGCAAACGTCCCGCTACTTCTCAGAACTCTTTCATTAGCAGTATATAATGTAAGTTAAAAGTAAAGAACTCTCTCCTAATCCTACCACAACTATACTAAATCTTACTAGCTACTTTTTCTGGCATCAACATGGACTCACGGCTACTACAGGAATTCCTCCAAGCTGATGATAGTATATATTTCAAATACCCAAAATTACCAAAGTCCTAAACTTCAGCCATCAGAGCAGCATGAACACAAAATTGAATCTCTGAATTCACAATCTAAAAAATTTAATCACCAATCTCATGAACTCTTAGAGTTCGTGATCTAATGTACATATACAAAAGACAAATCTTAACTGGGTAAGGACGCCTTAGGTTGGTATAAACTTTAGCATCCTTCATTTAAAGTAACTTTCCATCTTAAAGAATCCGTGAAAATGATTTGGAGATCTTCTGAATTGCATTTTCAAAATTGTGGAGGAACATGACTTTTCTTAAATAGTCGATCTTCCAAATCTATGAGATCTTGCGGTGAATCTTTCAAAATTCTCCTTCTTATCTTCTCCAAAACGCCAAGAATCGTTTACATTTGGGCATCTCGTCCTTTTATAATCCTTGTCGCCTATTCTTTGTCCTATAAGAGAGAAAATTAATTATCGTATAGAATCCAACTCATTAATACAAGCAACGTATATGGTAACTGAATATATGTAAGATATATATTATGTAATCATTTCTTTAAAGCGTTGGTCTCCATAATACATATAATAATTAATAAATATATCATATATTGTTAATGATAAATACTAGGAACTTAATAAATTTATTCGGTTTATGTAACGGATAAAACTGAAAATTCGGTCGGTTCGGTTCGGTTTTAACCGGTTGTGCACCCCTAATCCATAGCTTTTTATTAATGAAAAATCTTATTTGTTATTGGTCTATAGTGTTCATAATTTCTCTAGGAACTTGGCTCTCTTAATTATTTCTGGCAATCGTCCTTGAGGATAATTTCTGTATTTGCACATTATTCAGTGCACATGCAATGGGACATTGTAAAGAAACTCAATCAAGAAGACAAAATGAAGATTCAAGTCCAATCAACTTAATTTTTGTCAAATCAACAGTTAGATCGTCATATAATCCTTGTCTACTAAAACATTATCTTACAAAATAAATATTATTTTTCTTGGCATCCAAAGAACACACCTTTGGATAATTATATCAGACCCCTACAAATCTAGAATTTTCGATTTGTCATTCATGAAAGCAAATAACGTAAGCACAACATTCATTTCAATACTAATAAAATCCTACCCAGTCATTCTCCCTTTTTCACTGAAAATCACCATCTTCACAACATTCTGGAAGCATAATAGATGAAAACCGCAAAAAACATTATGAACTCAAGTAAAATAACCAAAAATCAGCCGAGTAAATTACATTCATATCACTGTTCTGTCAATAAAGTAAAGCTCACACAACAGTATGATTACGNAAAAAAAAAAAAACAGAAAAAAAAAATTACAAGATGGCTCCTTACAATTTGAAAACGCTAGATCCCTAGATTAAACATATCCTCAGATAGACTTTGACAATTAAACCCCATCCATGAAATTGATAGTATTGGTCCTTAAATCCGACCACTAATCCAGTTAAAAAACGTTGCAAAACTGGTCTCGATTTTGCCTATATTACCTTCTCAGTAGTAAGTAGGGTAATATGCAGCAGGTACAGCAGCAGGCGGCTGAGCTGCGGTCAAAGTTGCACCAGCTGCTGGCTGCACGTAAGCCTGCTGCTGGGGCAAAGCCTGCATAAATTAAGATTGCATGAATAAAATCTGTGACTGACCAATACCATTATCCAAAAAATATTATTATGCCCGGCACAATCTTAAGTATTCAAAGGTACACATAAAAGTAGTTGCGGCTACACTGAAATATCAAAATTCAAATCAAAAACAAAAAAGGAACTTAGAA